TGTGCACATGTATCACATCAGTACTCTTCATCCTCTTTTCCTGGTTTAGTTCTGGCTATTGCACTTATTCCCTCTGTGTGTGTTCACTTAACTAAGCACCTTACATTTAACAGAGCATGAATTGCAGGAAGGCTGCAATTTTTGTGTTTTACTCACTAATGTATTCCCAGTACGTGCAATGGTGGAACAGTGCCAAACACATAGTAGGTAGTTTATACCTATTAAATGAATTTGATTTTTTGAAAAACAAAAACAATAAACCTGTGAGATAGATAAGGCTGATTTTATTATCATCATTTTATCAACATAGTAACCAAATAGTAAAATGTAAAATCAAGACTTTATACTCCCTGGTTTATATAATAATTCCTGCCCCTTCATGCCAGTTTTTTTGTACCATTTTGTGCCTGATACTGTTCTAGAGTCCAAGGGTGCCAATATGAATGAGCACAGCTACGGGCCTTAAAAAAGTTATTAAAGCTGAAGCTCAAGGTGGAACTGGAAGGGAGCAGGGCCTTGTACACCACGCTAAATGCTTGAATTTTACCCAGAAAGCAAAAGAAGTCACTGGTGGGCTTAAGAAAAAAATGTCATTACCAAATTTTCAAATTAGAACAGTTTAGATTGCACACATTATTTTCATTCAACTAATATTTTTGAGTGTCTTTTTTTGCGGGGGGCATGCCAAGGATCATTTTCAGTGCTGGAAGCACACCAGAAAAACAAAAAAACCTTATGAAGCTCATGGTCTAGTAGAAAAGACTCTCAACAAACAAGTAGGCAAATAAAAATACATTATAGTTGTAGGAAGTTTTAACTGCTTTGAGGGAAAATAATAGAGGGTGGGGGAGGTGAGAGTCACATGGGTGGAGGATGCTTTGCACAGAGAGGGCATGGAAAGCTCTGTTAAGGAAGTTCCATTGGAGCAGAAATATACATGAAATTAAAAGGGAAAACAGTTCCACAGAGTTCCAGGCAGAAGGCCAAGAACCACCTATGCTATGGTTGTGACACAGAAGTTAAGCTTTGCCTACTTCAAGAATATCAAGGAGCCCAAGTGACAGGAGGTAAAAGAATGATAGAGAAGAGTGGTATGCAAAAAGGACAAGGAGGTAAGCAGGGACAGCTAGCTGATGGCAGGTCATAAACTCTAGATGGGTTTTATTCTAAGTGTAGTGAGGAGCCATTCAGTGTTCAAATCAGGGAAGCAAGGGTGTTTGACTTATTTTTTAAGATGCCTCCAGTAGATGTGTGGAAAAAAGACAGTGGCAGGGCAAGGAGGGGAGCAGGAAAACTGATTAGGAGGCTATTGCTTAAGAAGGTGGTAGAAATTGAAATGAGTAGAAGAGGTGATAGGACATGGAATTGCCAGAGTTGACATAACTTGCTCATGTGTTGGATGTGAAGTTTGGAGGAATTCTAAATGATTCCTAAGCTTTTGGTCTAAGCAACTGGTCAATGATGGTGTCATTTCCTGAAAGGGGGAATATTACAAAAGGAGTTAGTTGTTAAGGACCAAATTCTCCTGTCCTGTGTTGAAATCCTAACCACCAATGTGACCCTATTTGGAGATGAGGCCTTTAATAATGTAATAAAGGTTAAATTAAAGTTAAATCAGGCTGTAGTCAAGTATGATTAGTGCCCCGATCAGAAGAGACAGTATGGATACAAGTGCCCAGAAAAAAGGCAGGTAAGGATCCAATGAAAAGGAAGCTGTCTACAAGCCAAGCAGAAAGACCAAGCCAGCACCTTGACACTATACTCCTAGCTCCAGAACTGTGAGAAATAAATTTCTGTACTTGAAGCCTACCAGCCTGTGGTATTTTGTTATGGTAGCAATACTACCCTAGCAGACTTAGAAAACTGATACAGAAGTGAAGAGAACAAAAAGTAAAAATAAAAAAATGAGTTCTTTTTCAAAATGTTGAGTTTAAAATGACTATTATTAGATTTCCAAGCAGAAAAACTGAGTAGGCAGATGACATCTGAAGCTCAAGGAAGAGGCTGAAGCTAGAGATATAATGAGAAAACATGAGCATAAAATAATATTTGTTATTGGGGAACACATATTCCCCAGTCTCTGTGTTTCTCTGAGGAAGCTCCACTAGTGTTACACTCCTGACTTCTCACTGTTCCCTTAGTCACTCTTCCCCAGGGAAGCAGGACTGAAATACCCGATCAGTCAGTTAGAAAGAAAGAACCCAGTATTCATAGTTCATTAATTGTTTGTATCTTTTGGAGATGTCTGCCTTCAGAGAATATCATTTTATAATCTTCTATGTTGTGAGTTTTTCATAAGTTAGTTTTCATTGGGAGAGGCCTATGGTTGTCCAAATATTCTTATGATTAAATGGTTAGTTAGCAAAATATTAACAAGTTCAGTGGCTCTGTGACTCAACCATGTTCTTCAATATAACTATATTTAAAATTACAATATAGGTGACATTTTTTGATCTTCTCTTTTTGACTCTATGTCTTTGATTGTGAACTTGAACAGTCACTAGATGAAGTCACCTATCAGGTGGATGATGCTAGTGAAAATTATAGGGTCAAACATAGAAACTTATGGCTTTCCAGAATTAAGAGAGGTGGAAGAGGAGTCTTCAAAAGAGATAGAGAAATTAAGATTAGAGGAAAACCAGGAGAGTGTGATAGGTTGAAACCACATAAAAATATATTTTAAGAACTAAGGGATGGTCATTTGTTTCAAAAGATGCTGGCAGGCTGACTTAAACGAGGGTGTATGAAATTGGAGGTATGACCACCTCTCTTTCTGGTTAGTTTGCAAAAAGAAGAGAAAAGGCATAATTCCAGCTGGCTTCAGTGGAGGAAGAACCTTAGCACAGACCCCCTTACATGTGCAATCACTTAGTTAAACATCTCCCTCAAGAAGGGTAACAAGTCATCCTGGTTTGCCTGGGGATGAGTGGTTTCCTGGGGTATGGGATTTCTAGTGCTAACGTAGAGTTAAGTCCAAGGCAAACTGGGAGGCTTGGGTTACCCTACCCTCAAGTAACACTCATCCCTACAAACATACCGTTCTACACAAGCCATTAACAATCACACATAATCATGATCTCACCACTGTGGCTAATTTTATGCACCCATCAAAGTAAGATGACCTGCTGACAAAGTATATCCTTCTTAATAGTGATGAGGACATGGTTTGGAAGAAGAGAAAAAGAGTAAAGAGGAAGGAGAGTGATTGACCCATCTAATCACAGGTAATAAGGCCAACAACAAGCCCATTTGCAATTGTTTAAGATAAAAATAAAGATACCCTGATGGAGGCAAGGATAGTGAGGTGGAGGAGAGAGCATGGATTCTATGTGGTATGGTTGCTCATCAGGTGAAGGGGAGGTTTTTTCTTTGAGTGTGTCTGTAAATGGCAATCATTTATCAAAGTGGTGAATATGAGAAAATTTAGGTTTATGAGAGAAAATAGTGAAGTCAGTTTGAAATAAGAAAAGTTTGGAGTGCCTGGGGGTCACTTAGGGAATGTATTTCTAAGGATAGCACAGTGTATTTAAGGGCATGGATTCGAACCTTCCTGCCTGGATTCAAATCTTAGCTCTCTCACCTATTATTCTCTCTGAGACTTTGAGTAGACTTGATCTACTGTACCTCGGCTTTCTATATATAAATAAAATGAGCAGAATAACCCTGATCTGACCGATAAGATGGTGGTAATGAATGGTTTCTGGCACATAGTCAATTACTGCTGCACTTCATAGACAGGAGGATCTAAATCTATGGGAATGGGGCTAGTTAAAAGGGCTGAGCTGGAAATAGAGCAAAGGACACTGAGAGATGAAAAGCCCAAAAGAGCCTATTAGCAAAGCAGGTGAGAGATTGAAGAATGTGGTGCGTGTGTGTGAATAGTAACAGTAATGGTGATGGCGGAAGGGCAGTTAGACTCTATTAAAGCTTTAATGGTGACTGTTAAGAAGATAATATGTTTGTATCATGATAATATGAGGCATTGAATTTCTTCTCTTAATTTGTATTTGGAGTTTTTATCAGTTAACTATTTCTTCACAACAACCCTTGCCAAAACCGGCTTTAAAAAAGCAATAATTCATCTGCTCAGAAATTGCTGTGACTTAGCAATTTGGATGGCAATTCTTTGTCTGGGTTTGCCTGGGTCCCTGATCTGGCTGCAGTCATCTGGCAGCCCAGCTGAGGCTGGAGGGTCTCACTCATACATCTGGAGGTTGGTTCTGCCTGTTGGCTGTGAGTGGTCTGTCATCCTCACAGAGGCTGGCCCAGGCTTCCTTACGTGGTGCTCTCAGGGTAGCAAGAGCCTGAGAGCAGAAACTGAAAGGCCTTCTGAGGCCAAGGCTTTAATGTCATATGATGTCCCTTCTGTGGCTTACTATTGGTTAATGGGGCCAACTTATATTCAAGGAGAGGGGAAGTAGACTTTTTACCTTAATGGGAAGAGTGGCAAATTTACATTGCAAAGAAGCACGCACACAAGAATTGGAAGAACTGTAGCCATCTCTGTAAACAGTTGAACAATGGCTCAATGGCACACTTCACATGTCATTACTGAAGGCCTACAAAACAGGACTTCAGATGCATAGCTTCTCCCTACCCCTGATTATACCCAGAGTAAGCCTTCTGCATGATACATGATGGATATCGTAAAAATAGGAATGAGTAAAGATGCAGGTTGGTGCAGAGTTTGTATTCTGATGTGATATTACCTATTGTCGAACTCTCCCTTCATGAGACTGTGGGTAGCTGGTCAAGTGGACAAAGTCTGAAGGATAGAAGCAGAGAAGAGAGTATTCTGAGACCTGGGAGTTGGAGAGAAGCCAAGGCAAAGCTATATATTGGAGAAATTGGAGTCAAACACAGTGAGAAGACCACGCAGAAACAAAGCCTCAAAGGCCAGGGCAGAGTGCAGACAGTACCTGTGGCACATATGGGTCAGCCCTGCTTCTGGGGGTTGTACTCTGCTGGCTTGAAGGACCCAAAAGAAGGTAGGTACTTACTGTGGTGATCTATGGGAGAACTTGGTTCCAAAGAATGCTGCTCTGTTCTCTGCTCTGAACTCCTCTGGGGCCATTGAAGCTGTTCCTCTTCTCTCTTTGCTACACCTGTCACAAGCATTAGCTAACCAGAAAGTGAGAGGTGAGTTCACTGTTTCAGTAAGGAGTAGGAATGTTTTCTGTCTGGGAAGCTTCTTCTGCTCACTACCACTGTACCTACTCACATTTATCTTCAGATCTCAGTAAGTGATAGCACATTAAGATAGAGCAACACAGTGTGGGCAAAAGTCTGGGATGCCACATTTGTCTTGGTGTCCATGTCATAGGGGGCCCTGTGGGCCAAAACTCTTGCAGGCACCATGGCAAGATTATTTCTCAAACTTTTGAGAAGGCAACCACACTTGACCCCAAATCTTGTCTCTATTTACTAACTAGGGCTTCAAATTTTCAAGTCTGTTTTCCTTTTGGAATTTGAATTCATGGGAAAAGTTTATTAATTAAAGTGTACATTGGAGCACAGCTGGTGTAAGACTGCCTGGGACCACACCTTACTGATTAACCTTCCTGTGACTGAGTTTCCTCAGCTATAAGCTGAGGGGAGTAACAGTATCTACCTCATTTAATTGTGATGATTAAAGGGGTTAATATGTGTACAGCTCTGAAATAATGATGAACACATGGTGGACATTCACAAAGTCTTAGTTATTATTGTTATTGTTCTGTTGTTTTTTATTTTTACATGCCACTTATGTATGATGAAAAAATGATAGAAATATACCCAAACACCCCCATTTTAAAAAATGTTTATGGTTAAATTGGCAAAACAAACTATGTTCACATAAATTATTTCAAGAGTAGTTAAAAGTTCATCTTTGAAAAAATACTTAGACTAATTACCTGTAAGCATACTTGAGAATGAATAATATGGAGAAAGATTCAATTAGGGGACATGTCACTTAGCAAAGTGGGTCTTGAGAGGGACCTTGAAGAAATGGTATTGGGGTTAGGGTGATGCGAGAGCATCAGTGACCACTGTGGACAACCACATTAAATCCCTCAAGTTTCCATTCCTTCAAGGTGAAATGTGTATGGTGGAGAAGTGCTATTTTCTATTATTCAGACTTGGATCTTCTGAAACATTCTGTCACTCCACTTTTTTGGGTGTGTGGGTCAAAAGTTCAATGACTTGTCACTTTGATATAAGTTTACTCATATTGTGTTGATGTTTTCTTTGTGACTTCAATAGTTGAGTTTCCCGCAATACTATCAAGTTCTCTTTAAGGGAATATGAGAGCCGATTCAAAGAAAAATATGTTGGCTCTTCTTGGTGAAGAGCAAAGCACCTAAGCTTTGAATACTTTGTTTACCTCTTTGCTTACTCCATCCACGGTGTTCGGGTTCCATTCTCTGGTGGAAATATGTGCGTAATTACATTTTTTTACAGTTCTGAAATTTTATGTGGCAGTATTGCTCACAACTACAATTTCTTACTTTAATCTTTTTTAGAGGTTGTAATGATTTATTTCCACTGTTTATCTAGTGACAAATAACTTCTTGCTCTTCTCTCTTAAGGTTTTAATATATTGGTGTATTTTGCTATACATTTTGTTTTATTATTTTTTTCATTTTAATATATTAGTATAAAAAACCCCAACGGTCCTTTATACATTCTACCTTAATAACAGTCTCCCTGATACCTATGCTCTTTAATCCACATGCAGCACTAGACAAATTGTCTTACTAAAGCACAGGCCTGGTAATGTTCTTTCCATTCAAAAACTCTGAATGGCTCCCAGAATCAAGAACACTTTCCATAGTGTGGCATTCAAGGCCCATCAGAACCTCTCCCAGTCCAGCTTCCTAGGTCTCCTTCATTCTTGCTGCTGTTCAGTGCTCACCCTTCTCTAACCCTGGGTGAAGTGAGTTCTCATGCCTAGATGCCTTTGATCATTTCAAATTCCTCTCATTACATTGTTCTTCTCTATTCTCTTCCTGGAAATGTTTCCATCACCCTTCAAGGACTTTTCTACCTGGCTCCTCCAGGTCTCAATAACTGGTCTCGCTCTGGGCTCTCACAGCTTTTGATTGTCACCTTCTGCTGAGTGTCACCTGTTAGTGGGCTTCTGTTGATAACAGAAGCCATTGTTTTTTTAGAAGTATTGAGAGAGTTGGATTTATAGGCTGAGCTTGTTTCCTACATCAATTAGAGTTTCTGAAAAGTAAATTTTAAAGCTTCTACTTTGTCCTCTCCACCCATACATTTGCTCTTCTTGGGCATTCTGAAACCTCAACATTTTATTAGCATGTTCTTAGAATTTTGGTAATATGAGTCTACAAGTTCAAAACTAAAAACACTTGACCTAATCTGGGTGCCCCTTAGGTATCTAGGATTATAAATCCACCATCTTCTTCAGACCAATGAGGTTTAGGCCTCTTTATTCTCATTTCACAGTCAAGCCAACTCACATGCTGAGAGTCAGATGATGGGCCTCTGAGCTCTGTAGGGGCAGGGAATCCAGTGGATACAAGCATGGGTGTTTGGAGCTGGACGACATGGGTTTAAGTCCTGTGCTGCCTGAGTTTGAAACTTGGCTCTGCCGGCTACTAGCTTGTACCAGTTATCAAGCCTTTTTTTTTGCCTCAGTTTTCTTCACTGTAAAATATGATAGCAGTGTCTTCCCTGTGAGTTTTGTTCTTCTTGAGAATAAAATATGTTATTATATAGAGAGCACATAGGACAGAGTCTGGCATGTAGTAAACATGTAAGTAAGTATTAATTGTTATTATTATCATCATTATTACTAATTTTAAGGAGCACAGAACTAAGAAGTGAATTAGTCAGGGTTTCAACACTGGTCTGTTTGGGTCCAAAGACTGTCATCTTGTCTATGTCAAAGTGCTTCCTGCTATGCTCATGTGCCTGGAGGTTAAAGAATAGAGTGAAAGTCCTTTTCAAGTTTTTATACCCTCAGGGATATAAACCCTTTATTAAATGATTTTAGTTTAAAATGCATGACCAACACCTTCTGCATAGTTTCTGGAGATTTAAAAGCTCCAGAAACATTAGTATGAGTGAGATAAAACTCTGAAATTATTTTAGTGTTTCAGGATTCTTAGCAGTGGAATTGCTGGGTCAAAAGGCAATTGTACTTGCAGTTTTTTGAGGAAATTCCATACTGTTTTCCACGGTGGCTGCACCCATCTGCATTCCCACTGACAATGGACTAGGGTTCCCTTTTCTCCACAAACTCACCAGCACTTGCTGTTGGTTGATTTATTAATTATGGCCATTCTGAGTGGTGAGAAGTGGTGTCTCATTGTGGTTTTAATTTGCATCTCTCTGTTGGCTAGTGATGCTGAGCCTCCTTTCATATGTCTCTGGGCCCTCTGTATGTCCTCCTTGGAGAAGTGTGTGTTCAGGTCCTTTGCCCATTTTTTAATTGGGTTGTTTGTCTTCCTGGAAGCAGAGTCGTGTGAGTTCTTTATTTATTTTGGAGATCAAACCCTTGTCTGAGCTGTCATTAGCAAATATATTTTCCCATTCAGTTGGTTCCCTTTTCATTTTGCTTATGTTTTCTTTAGCCATGCAGAAGCTTTTTATTTTGATGAAGTCCCATTTGTTTATTCTTTCCTTTATATCCCTTGCTGTAGGGGACATATCTGAAACACCAGTTCAAAAGAACCTATGCACCCCAATGTTCATAGCAGCGCAATTTACAATAGCCAAGTGCTGGAAGCTGCCTAGGTGTCCATTAGTAAATGAGTGGATTCAAAAACTATGGTACATTTACACAATGGAATACTATATAGCAGAAAGAAAGAAAGAGCTCCTACCCTTCACAACAGCATGGATGGAACTAGAGAGCATTATGATAAGTGAAGTAAGCCAGGTGGTGAAAGACAAATACCATATGATCTCACCTATAAGTGGAAGCTAATCAACAAAACAAACAAGAGAGAAAAATAGAACCAGAGACGTGAAAATAAAGAACCAAACTGACAGTGACCAGAGGGGACAGGGGAGAGGGATAATGGGGAGAAGAAGGGAAGGCCCATCAAGGAACATATGTAAATGACCCATGGACAAAGCCAAAGGGGGTAGGATTGAGGGTGGAAGGTGGGGATAGGTGGGGCCGGGGAAAGTAGTGGTGGGAAAATGGAGACAACTGTATTCGAAAAACAATAAAAAATGATAAAAACTAAAAATAAAAAAGATAAAATGCATGACTAGTATGTCATGAATACTTTCTGGAGGTTGATGGCTGGGGAGACATTAGCATAAAAGAGATAACATTCTGTTCCCATAGAGGACATGGTAAAAATCATGGGTCCTATTACAGAGGTTGCTCTGGGGTGATTCACTATGCCTGTGATATTACTGGTATTTGCCTACTAGTGTTTGGCCCGTCTACACCAGTCCTCATGATTAGAAAGAACCAAATCAGCCTGAGCACGTTTGTTCCAGCACATGAAGTTTTCGTAAAGTTGTAGGAGTGTATCTCTTCCTCCCCAACCACCTTCCTCTTTCCTCTGTTCCTCAGAAACGCATGGGCCCCACACTAGCCAGGAAGAAAGCAGAGGTGAGAGGTAGATAAGAAAGGTGTTATGTTTGGCATGACTGATTTAAGCTAAAAGTTGGACCTAAATAGCCATTTAGGGTAAATTTTTTATATCCTTTGGGTGTAACTTGCTGTGTCAGCACTCATATAATACCATATAATTAATTAAGCAAGAGAGTTTGTGAGATGCATTCCCTGAAGTTATCATTATTTTAATTTTGCTAAATTCAATGAAATCCAACAAATACACTCCAGGCTTCTGGCTATGACGTCAGATTGTATTCTGTGGATATAAATTTGTATATGACAAGGCCAACTATCTCCAGGTGTTCCAAGCCTTGTTCAGGAGACAAACAAATAAGTAACTGTAAGGGGACAGGTTAAGTTCTATGACCACACAAGTGGGTGAAATGGCCCAGATGGTTGGCCAGGGCTGGTGGTTGTAGGGGCATAAGTTCTCAAGGAAAGCTATCTCTGAAGAGAATAGAGGACATCGCTGTGTGGAAAAGAGGAGCTGAACACATCAAACAAAGGGCAGGGCAAGCACCTGGCTTATTCAACTGGC